TCTCAGTGTCGGTGTGGCTATTGCGATTTTGTGTTTGTGCTATGAAGACGAAGGTTAGTCAAATTCCGGAGGGCGTTTGACCTAGCAAGATGATTGACATTCGAGATCTAGGACATCTGAGAGAAATCACAGACCAGCCCATTGTCGAGAAGCAACTGGTTAGGCGAAGATTAGCATGGATCATCTGCTCAAAACAAGATGCAAACCCTTCGAGGGCAACGCTTCAAGCCGTCAATTCCTTCTTGATGCAACGTCCGGCTTAGCGCTGGAACCGAAGCACCAGAGGAAGGTGTGAATCAGACCGACACCGTTGCACCCGTTGGGCATGATCAGAGTCAGGAAAGCAGGGCAGCACGTGGAAGCGGCGCCTGGGAATCTTGTGGCGATCGAGGCATGAGTGCGCAGGACTGTGGGTGACAAAGAGCTTCCAGCTTACTGCAGAAGCAACAAGCGATGCCAATGAGAGTGGTGGGAGAAGCTGCAGGCGAGATGGAGGGCGGAAGTGCCAGGTGCGGGTGCGGGCGCAGGTGAGGGCGCAGGTGAGGGCGCAGGTGAGGGCGCAGGTGTGGGCGTCCAGCGGGACCCAAGGCCACCAGAGGCTGGGCCGCATGATTGCATCATCACCATCATCACTCCTCGATTTGGAGGATGCGGTTTATACAACAAAAAATACCACGCTGCCGCTTCTGAAATCTCAAGGCTTCTCCCAAGTTTCCTCGTGGCTGGATCACGCCTTTTTCTCTCTCCGTCGCAATGCCTCCCCTCTCTTTCAGCGATACCCTTCCTCTACCTGACACCTCCGTCCACATACCCCGCCTTGGCTTCGGAGTCTATCAATCCCCTGCAACTGTCTGTGAACAGTCATGCCTGTGCGCTCTACAAGCCGGATACAGACACATTGATACCGCGCAGTTCTACCACAACGAAGCTCAGGTTGGGGAGGCGCTGCGTAAATCAGGAATTCCGCGCTCCGAGGTGTTCGTCACCACCAAAATTCTCTCTGCAGCAGGAAGCGTTGAAAAATCATACAAAAAGTGTCTCGAAAGCGTGGAGAAGATTGATCCGGGACGTGATGGCTACGTGGATTTGTTCTTGATACACAGTCCCAATGCGGGAAGTAGCAAGAGAAAAGAGATGTGGCAGGCTCTTGAAAAATTGTACGAGAAGGGAAGGGCTAAGAGCATTGGTGTGAGCAACTTTGGTGTTGGACATATTGAGGAGATGAAAGAATATGCAAAGATCTGGCCGCCACACGTCAATCAAATAGAGGTATGATGAAGGTTCCTCTTCTCATCAAGCTGCTCTGGTCTTGTCAAGACATGGTGATGAAGCTGACCACATTTCTACTAGTTGCATCCATGGTGCCAACAACGAACCATCACCGATTATTGTCAGAAAAACGGTATCATCATCGAAGCCTACTCGCCGCTGGTTCGAAATTACAAGGCCAACGATGCCACATTGGTCTCCTTGGCCCAGAAATACAACAAGACCACGCCACAGATCCTCATCAGATACTGTTTGCAGAAGAACTGGGTACCTCTGCCGAAAAGTGATACTCCGGATAGAATCAAGCAAAACGCCGATGTTTATGACTTTGAATTATCTCCGGACGATATGGAGGCGCTGGATGCATTGGACCAAGGGGACGCAGGGGCGATTGTTCAAGCTGTGCGCAACGATTAGGATGTGCGACCTAGCCAGGGCCGCGTTAATGACGGCATGGGGCGAAGGCTGTGGAAAGGAAATCGCTTTGTGCAAGTGTGAAAGTGAAGCAATGGTGCCAGTCCAAAGCAGCCATGGATCATCTTTCCACTCTTTGCCGCGCAGCTTCGTGGATATGATCGCCACTGTTGTTGCATCCTGAATACCCGAACGTGTCTGATTACTTTCTGTTGTGCTTCAGTGTCTTCGGCAGGACTATTCAAGTAAGAGTGCGCATGCCATCTGGCAGGATCAAACTACCTCTAATCGGACCAGCCTTCTAGTTCTCGGTAGGCAGCGAACCAGTTTCATTCGTCTACGTCCGAGTTTGATTACCTTTTATTACAGATCCGGCGATACCTCGGACTGCGCACATGTTTAGTAGTCAAAAGCAGATATCTCCCCTGTACCGAGTACTCGGTACAGAGCCATGAGTTGTATCCTCTAATTGAAGAGACCGTACAGTCTGCAGCCTTGATTAAGGTCTGGCCATCATAAGGAGCTTCCACATAGGATTTGGTCAAGGAACGCCCGCCTTCTCCATCGCCCTTTATCCAACGGAGCAACGCTATACCCGGGTGTGCATGACCACCTTGCTGCTACAAATCAAATACAAGACTGTCCAAAAAAAAAACACCCTTTCCTGGTACATTCCGAACGACAATGTCTTGTGCACTACACCCTATTCCGCAGTGCGTCCGCATATGAGGTTGCTTGTCAGAAGTTCTGCATTGAGGACTCGGCAGATTCTCTCTCCCAACACTTTCGTCCAAGACCTCTTGCGAGATCTTGGGGACAGGCTGGCGTGAATCATCGGAATCTAATCAACCGCCGTCAAACGCTTTCGATGGAGTTGTACGACAGCCACAAAGTTAGAGCGGCGACTAGACAGGACCTTGTCGTCGTCGGGATCCTTACTGGAAGAGGCGAGGTGGCATCAAACCCCCAGGCGGCCAGGCCAATGCCATGATTTCCATATCATAATCACGACGACAAGCGGCATGAAAGCAGCAAGAGGGTCTTCTAATCTACGGCGATTAGTCTTGGTTTTGCGGGTGCTTCACGAAAAACCTGCGATTACTCAACATCAACTAGGGAGCTTCAAGCCTTGTCCACCACATTCTTGTACCAGACTGGGGCTCAACTGCTACTGGAAAATGTTGAGGACGCCTCTTGCAAACGATTGGGGAGCGGTACTGGCTGGAGAGATGAAGCTGGTTGCACAGATGTCCCCGTGTCCTTCTTCGATGGAAGTGTTCGACGGGACCAGGAGACGGTAGGCAAGTATAAAAGTCGACAAATGCCCTCTTCATCTTGTATCCTTCTGGGATATAGCATTGCAAGATCGTCTTTGCCTATGACTTCTACTGGACTGGCTTATATTTGTTTCAATACACAGCTCTAGCACTCAAACAATATCAAGATGTCGACAATCCCCAATACAGCTGTCGCTTCTGGCCCCAGCATCGACGAGCTGCTTGAGCGTAATAAGTCAGTGATTCTCGAGCGCTCAGAGTCTCCGAGTCTCAAACCAGCTCTTTTTGTCCACACGGACTTCTAGTTGACATGAGTACAGGCTATATGCTGCTGGACACAAACCTATTCCCACTTTAATGGACCGGGTGAGAAACGATGCCAAAACGAACGGTCCTCATGTCTTGATCGGTAGGATGGGATCCTTCCAAGGCCAAGGAAAGCGGTGACACTGAACAAATTCCAGTCTCATGCCTCGATTCTCGGGCCAATCCGATGACATTTTTGAATATTCAGGTCCGGGAATGTCTTGTGTTGCGCAACGTAGCAGGACGCTTCGCGTCGGTTGCAGAGGACATTGCTGCCCTCGACACTCTCTTTCACATTTCTCAGATCATCCTCGTCCACCATAACGATTGCGGCGCGTCGCACGTAACCAAGCCCAAGATTCTCGATAGAGTCCACAAGAAGAGGCCCGAGTACACGGCATTTGCGGAGCTGGAAGAAAGACTGCCAATGAAGGAAAATAACCGCGATTCACTGCTGGAAGACCTCGAAAGAGCCAAGAAGTGCGGGTTCCTCAGGACAGATCTGATCGAGGGCATTGTTGGGTTGTGGCTCGATGTTGACACCGGGCTGGTAGAGAGAGTGTATCCCGAGGATAACTGAGGCAATGAATCGTTCAAGGGCATTTCCGATACATACGAACTTCTCTCGCTCAAACTCCAATTCACGTGGAGATGAAAGACAAATAGGAAGAGGGCTGCAAAAGTGGGTTAGCGAGACAACATCTCCATATTTGTGCATCCCCGTTGCAGACAAGCATTGATGATCTCAACTGTCTCACAGTGTACGCGCAAGCTACCATTGCAGCATGGCTCTTGTTCCGTCTCTCTGATGTAGATTTTCTTTCTTCATGTCGAGAACGTCGCTCCATGAGAATCCCGATGACAGACCACCACATTGTTTTCTCTGCGTTTGCTTCTCTGTTTCAAGAATACTCGAGGTCCTTGCAATTGGTACGTCTTCCTCAACCCTTGAGGGAGTATAGTCTTCCTCGTTGTCTTACGCACGTGATAGATGCGCTGCCAATCGCACCCTGAAGGGCTAGTACCATGGCAGCGATTCACCGCAATTGTCTTTTCTGCCAGAAGAAGCCTTGGACCGACGGAGAGCTCGAGTTGCTCAACTGGTACAGTGTGAACCTCAATGGCCGCTTGGACACCCGCGTCTGCTTTTTTCACAATCAGAAACAGATCCAGTGCCTGCGGAGGGTGCGCGGTCGGGTGCAGCAGGAATCTCGGCGGCGGAAAGTGCCTGTCGAGGAACTGAAACAGAGGATCTTCATGGATCATTATCGAGAGATGAAAGAGGACGAGAAGACCTCGAAGTCTTGTATTTTGATGTGAGCGACAAAGGCCACGATTCAAAGGCGCTCTTCAGGCACTTGGGTGTGGCGACGAATACCGAGCAGCTCTGTACATAAGAAAGAACAACCTGTGGGTGGGTTGCTCTTTGCCCTTTTGTCATTTGGCTGCTCGCCTGCTCGCCTGCTGCCTACACATGCCTCACCATTCACGCACGCACTCTCTCACACGCGATGATTCTTTCAAATGGTCAAGCTATCAGCTCATTGAGTCACACGACCCGATCAGGTATTTGGAGCGTAAGTTGTTCCGAGTTGCTTTGCTCTCCTCCAGCAGTACATCCAGTCACTTTTTGTGGCCTGAACCCGCGTCCATCTCCCACATCAACTCTCTTCGCCCACAAATCCAGGAACTCAATCAAGGGCTTACGCAGTTCCACTGAAATATTTTCTTCCTATGGCGCAACGAATCGTGGCTTTCCAGAAGCCTCCAGTCCAAGTTCCCAACAGCTTTGTCAAGATCCTCGACGGGGCCATCTCCCTGAGAAAGCCGGTTGCGGTGGGCTTAGGAAACCATGATGGGTCTGGGTCATCCCGCAGCCCTGCGGACCAAGAATCCGATACAAGACACTCTTTCTTCACACTCACACTTGAGGACGTCAGAGAAGCACTCGGGTCCCGGATTTCGTCACCGGCCAAGAATAAGAATGAGACAGCTCAGCACAACACCGCTGAAGCCAGTGCCGCAACAAACCTGACGAATATGTTCTCCAGCCTTGAGGTCGAAGAGCCATCCGAGGCCGATCAAGAGAGCCCCTTACAGTCGGTACCTAGGGCAGAAACCGCGAAGCCACAGACTCGTTATCAAGCGGAAACTTTTGATGACCCCGAGGAAGCTTCCATTATGCTTATGTGCCTGGTGACATATTTCGCTGACATTCGCGATTTTGTCGCGGAAACTCGGTTGGGCTACAAAGAAGGGCTTTTGGACCTTGTCAGCGCCTCCCTCACAACAGATACAGCCAGGGAACTGGCACGTGGTCTGGAAGAAGCGCAACAGAAGCTTCTTGCGGCTCATGGAGGCGTGCAGAAGCTGCTCCATATTTCTTTTGTCGGCCACTGTCTAGAAATTTTGCCAGAGATCGGAGGCTTCACAATCGCCCAGCTGTCTCTTCATGCGGTCCTCGGAACCTGAAAGTCGGAGCCCCAGTCCACCGTATGATTTTGCAAAAATATCGTGAGGGTGGTGAGCCGGAGAACATGACTACGAAGGATGTTGAGACCATTATTAATAAGGGCAGTTGGCTTGCGGTTGGAGCTCCAGAAGATGAGTCCAGGCTAGTAGTCGAGCCCCAGTCCGAGGTCGAGGCCAAATCCCGTATCAGGAAAGAATGGAATGCTATACAACGGATCACCGTTCCGGAGCTCCTTCGTACTCTCAAGAACGACGCTGCAAGCTGAGATCATGGAATTTTCATTTGACTATTCCATGATGCACCGCCAATGTTGGTTATTGAGGTTGGTCAAGGCGGTGATCGGCCCTCGCATGCAGAAGCTCTTTGGTCCCGGGTATCTTCAAACAGACGCCCAGCTGCCATTTCTTGTCGTCTACATTTTCATGACGATGAATAAGGATGCGAACGCTGGCGAGGTGGGTTGGACGTCGACTTCCTCTGCCACGGTGTCGTCCCGCTTCTCGAGAGCTGTTAGAAGTAGCGGCGGAGAGGTTGGACAACATGGTTTCTGCGAATCATGGTGGCATGGTTTCGACCAGGATGTGGAATGTTTACGACATGAAATCCATAGTCGAGCAGAAGGACGATGAGCGCCGCCGCAGCGCCGACCTCGACAGTGATCAACTGGTGGTCAGTGGTTGATCGAGTTGAGAGTTGCTGGTGGGTCTCGATTTGCATCGAGTCCCTACAGCAACATCAAGCTGGTGAGCAGGACAATGCTCTGATGGCCGCCGTCAATGATGAAGAGCTTACTGACTACCCGATATCAAACGCCGCACCGAACCGTCAAGCCACCTTCACCAAGGCGATCGACGTCGTCGACTTGAAAGCAGTGCTGTCAGCTCACTTCTGACATCCAAGAGGGTGTCAAGATGTATCGCTCTGGTCAAAACTTGGTAGATGGCATCGTATGGGAGACGTGCCCTTTACACAGACGGTCAAATGCATACATATATTGTCATTCCTCTTCGTCACCGATGAGGAGATAGGGTCTCTGTTATGGGTTCCTTCGTCTGTGTCGAGTCGTCGAGCAATAGTCATATTCCTCTTCAATCCAATTTAATGCATACCCAAGGCTACCGGCCCCTATTTTATGTGTTTCCAACAGGAGGTCAGGGGAGACATTAGGACTCAACTTCCTCGGTACTGTATTTCTTACCGAACGCATTCCTTTCACATCAACGCTATATAGAGCAAGTCTAATAATCCACGGCAACAACGACGGTCATATACATCGGAAAGCTGATGAAGTGTGGAAAAAGTGTCCGACTTTGAGCAACTGTAGAGAGAAAATGGCCCACAGTCGATGACTAAGCCGAAACTCACCGAATTGCTGGTGGGAAATGCATCCGCAAGACTGCGAAGACTCCAACTTGTCAATCACTTCCACCAACCCGTTATCTCGGCGACACCTCCGTTTGATGTATAGGTCTTAAGTGAGGTAGTCTGGGAAAAGCACGTGTGCTATCTCACTGGGTCGACTGGCTATCGCTCAACTCCTTGCTTCCTGCAATGACCTCGACGCATCTGCATCGCTTCAAGCACGCTCAGCAATGGCCGTGCTTGATTCGTCCGCTTCCACCTCAGCCTTGCTCAGGGCCCTGTCCTCTGCTGATATGTTTTCGCCATATTATATCCGGGCTCCCTGGCAGCCAAGGCAGTAAAAGCAGACAAGAATTGTGGTCACTGCATCTGGCTGCTATCCGCAGACCGAGAAGCGGGTAACGGTGTGAGAACACAGTGTTCTTGTGGGTGATCACTGACACCTTGGCTACTACATAGTACTATGGCTACCACGGTGTCTGTCTCCACTCACGGCCACATGTCGTGAACTATGCCAGACTGACGCTGCTGATCCAGGCTACCACGCACATCTGAAACCACCGAGCAGCAAGAGTACGAGGAATCCATTCTTCGCCAGCACTACCCAGAAAGTCGACGGAGGCACGACCTGAGCCATCTCGCTGAGGAGGAAGGAATGCCCGAGGAAGACGACGATGAAGAAGTGCCCAGTAACAAAAGCCATCCTTCTTCGCCTGAGCAGAGCTCGACGGGGACGACGGGGGCACGTGCCAAGGTCAAGGGCAAACTCAAGTCCTTCTGGAACAAGACCATCGTCCCCGCCTTTCCCGAAGCTGTTGCGGATATCTCAATCATCAAGGCCGCGTTAAAGGTCGAGGCTACTATCACGAAGGAGTTGAGGGATACAACGAGGCATCCCGAGGTCGCTCTAAAGGCAACGGTAAGGAGGGGATTTGACCTAGCCCTAGAGGAAATACAATTCCGTGAGCAGAGAAAGGTCAAGGTGCGGGATGCTTTTTGCCGTTATCTCAACCTCGATCCCTCCGAGGTTCATGTTGATGACGTGCCGGTTGTAGCTTTTGGCGGATCGGGGGGAGGATATAGGGCCATGATCGGCTTTCTGGGATACTGTGAAGAGATGAAGCGCACGGGAATGTGGGATCTGTTGACTTATATCGCTGGTGTGAGTGGTAGTTGCTGGGGCCTCGCCGCCTACTACACCTGGGCCGGTGCGAGTATGAAGGCAGTGATTGACCATTGCCGGAAGAGACTGCATCCACACCACCCCTTGTCTCCCGAAGCAGTTCGCGAGGTGCTGAACGCCCCTGGTGGCCCGACGAAGACGCTTGGTCCCTTGATCCAGAAGCACCGCTCAGGGTTGTCAACTGTGGCTATGGATTTGTATTCTGTCTTCACCACGGGCCATCTCTTCCTGAATCACGATCCCGCCCTAGAGCCACCGGGCCTACGTGGGAGCTTTGGTGTCAAAAAGGAGGTGGCAGGCTTTCATGAGAACTGGCTAAAGTGGTCATCGGCAAATATGTATCTGCTAGACGGCAGCGAACCATTGCCCATACTTACCGCAATCCGGCATGAACGCCCCTGGAAGGACTGGGTAGACAAGGAACATCCCTTTAAGAACGAAGATCCAGAAACGAAGGAGCATCAAGAGGCCCAGGATGCTTGGTTCAATTGGTTTGAAATTTCGCCGATCGAGGTTGGATGTGACGAGCTGGAGGCTTGGTGTCCAACTTGGGCGTTTGGCAGGCCGTTCGACCAAGGCCACGATACCATGCAACTTCCCGAGCAATCTCTGGCATTGCTACTGGGTCTCTGTACCAGTGCGCCGGCGGGACCTTTGACTTCCTACCTTGCGACCATCAAGCGCAGTCTCCCGGCGGGATTCATTGGCAACTCCATCAATGACATGGCTAGAGGCATCGCGCGGCTGTGGGGGCCAAAGGGAAAGGAAGAGTTTCAAGCCCATCATCCGCTTCATGCTGTCAATGAGCACAATTTCATGTTTCACTTGACCCGGGGTGAGAACAAGGACAAACCGTCACCACCAATCGAGAATTCCCCTCGGATTCACCTGATCGATTCAGGGATGGATAACAACTGCCCGACGTATGTCATGCTGCACCCTTCTCGGCAAGTCGATGTGATTTTGAACATGGATGCGTCCAGCGACGTCTTGAAGGGCAGTTTCCAGGAGCGGGTGGACCAGATTGCCAGCCGACGGTGCCTGAAATTCACCAAACGGCACCCTGAAGTGGAAGCTGGCACAGACCCCAAAGATCCGGACCGCTTCAAGGGCTTATACGCACAGATCTACGACGGTAGCATCCTCGAAGAGAGGCCGAAGCAGGTGATTGACTCTTACGGACACGAAGTAACCAATCCCCCGGCACCGCCATGCCTCCATGAATCAACCATGATCTATCTCCCGTTACTGCCGAACCAGGGAGCAGTGGCCGATTTTGATCCTTCGACCGCCAAATTCTCCGGCTCGTATAACCTCGTGTGGACTGGTGAGCAGGTAGAGATGCTGGTCAAGGTATGCTGCGCCAACTACGAGGCCGGCGAAGATGCGATAAAGACAGTCTTGAGGGAGCAGTGGCAGAAGAAGAGAGCAAAGAGAGAAGCCGCTGGCGATTCCTCTACTTCGCTTCCTCCGGCAGGCCCTATTCCTCCTCCTCCTTCAACGCCTCCTTCTACGCCTTCAGCCGAAGCACATACCCAGTAACCGTGTGCCGGCTTTGTGTACGACGTCGGATGGCGAGGCTCTCTTTGAATTGGATCAATGCGAGACTTTCTTCGAGCACTAGAAATACAGTGTTGATGAAGATTCGGAGCTCACCGGAGACGATTGCACAGACCATCAGGTGATGACAACATCCTACATATTCGGTATATACCCTTGTACCACCCACATGGAATCCCCGGACCACCTGGCACTGCCCTCTGACCACTCAAGCTTCGGCGGCGTCTCCAGGCCAAGAGACCAGCGTGTGAAAACCTCGGCCCTCAACGGCCGGGTCTGGACCCCGGCATCCCCAATTCTAGACCCAAGACCTCTGAGGAGGTTTTTCTGCAAGGCTAGGCGTTCTAAAGGAACAACGATCCGGATCCTCGTGGCGAACGTGTCTCCTAATAATGGAGAGGCTGCACTTGATGGCCATGGATTTCCTCCACGATGGACCATTAAGTCAACTTGTGGAATCCAATTCCTACTTCACATTCCCTGGCGTTCGCAATAATGAATTGGATGGTTGCAATACAGCCTTCCCTGGTTGCCGGTACTTCTCTCAGCCCGCAGTCGAGTACGACTGGGGTTGACGCCACACCCGCGACGAGTTCCAAGCGGAAGTATACATCGACGGCATGCGAGTACTGTCGCTTCAAACGAAAACGGGTGAGTCGCTTTCTCGGCTGTATATGAATGCCTCGATTACTTGTGGATTGTTTCGAGCTGACCTGTTCTTCTTGCTTCAGTGTGATGGTCAGCCTCGTTGTCGCACATGTGTCGACGCCAATAAGCAATGCGTGTATCGCTTCAACGACAAGAGAAAAGCGAGCGTTCGACAGGAGGAAATCCAGCTTCTTGAGGCCCAGAACGAGGAGCTACGCTCCTTGCTCGACGTACTCAAATACGGCAGCGACGAGGAATCTCTAGCGGCCCTGCGAGCCCTCCGTTCCCCTCAGGCAACGACACCTGGTCGACGGTCCTCGAACCTCCTGTCTGATGTATATGGCGTGTCTCATCCAGACTTACCCTCGCTGTCGCCGGAAGACATCGAGCATCTCCGGGCAGATCAAGGAAGTCGACAGTCTGGTTCTCCAGCCCAGCCTTCATCTTGGCCGTCGCTCAGATTCTTCAACTATCCATCTATCTTTACCCCGAGCCAATTACCGCCTGAAGGTGACCTTCGGAAAGGCGCCGACATATTTCTCCAAGTGACGGCTGGCTTGTTCCACATCATGACCATGGACGAGTTTGACCAGCTTTGTGACCAGGCGTTTCGGCCAATATCGCCACCAGACACTTTCATCGTCGCCAAAGTTTGCGCTGTAGGCGCCATTGGTGCTCACTTCAACGTTGACGACACCACTGGGGAACTCAAAGACGCCCTCTTCCACACCGCCATCCACCACATGTCCGAAATGGTTGAGCTGCGCAACCTGCAAACCGTCAAATATCTTGCTTGCCTTTGCGCGTACGGGATGGTCGACAAGCGAAAGAGCACTGCGCGATTAATTCATCTCAGTCTGCAGATCGCGCGGTGGAACTTGGCTCTGCCGGAACATGAGCTCATGGAAGATGCCTACGAGTGGAGCAGGTTGTATCGAACAGTGACTTTTTTTGAATGGTATGTACATTCTGCGTCGTCGGGCCCTGCTTCCTCGCCGTTTTCTTACTGACTAACACTTTTTAGCTGGCTATCGGCGTCGTTGGGCTACCTGAATGACATGTCTGAAGAGGCTGAGCCTCTTACATCCCCCACGGCCGCAATATCCGGGCTTCAAGACGACAACGTGACGCAAATCAAGGCGAAAGAAATCATGAATTTGAAGGCCCGCGTGTGCAAAGCGTCGTGCGGTCTCGATCCGCCCACGGAGCAGACAATCAGGGACTATATGACCGACTTGGGAGCCTGGTATCAGAGACTGCCACCTCACATGACTTTGACGGTCTTGTTAAACGGTGACGCCAATCCGCTCTCGGCGGCACAACAAGGCGCGCTCCTGCTCTCCCACGCCACGTACTTGGGTGCGGTCATGATGTTGCATCGACGGGTCCTGGTGAGCGTCTCGGATGCTGTGCTCGGCCGGGTCGAGGACACTGATATCTGGAGCACGCCCGTGCAAGAGCATCTGGCTCATTCTATTGAGGCGGCACGGGCCATCGTGCGCATTTTCATCCTGCTTCGCTTCGGCACCGCGACAACAAACATGCACGTCCGGTGTTGGATTTGCATCTTGGAAACCTACACAGCCTGCACCATTCTCTTGTACAACATCGCATTCAGGACCATCCAGCACGTCGCGCAATGCTCAGAGATGCAACTGGACCTGGAACGTGTGGCGACCTGTCTCGGCATGCTCAAGGCATCAGCATTGGTGGACAAAGTGTCTCATAGAATGTGGGTGGCACTGGCAGCTGTGCACCATGCCGTTGTGGTTTCCACGGGCCATCAAAGATATCCAGTCTCATCTCTCGAAGTCGAGTCAAGAAGCCTTCCGCATCCCCGCCAACTCAACGGCATGGTCGGGTCGGCGTTTGAGCAATACAGCTCGTCGGCGGCGCCCTCACCCAAGCCGGCGGCCCAGGGTTGTGTGTCTGCCATTCAGGCATTTAAGCGCGCCACTGATATGTTGCGAGATCCATTTGGCCAGGGCCCAGAAGCAGGATTTCGGCTCCTCTCACGCGATTTGAGCGCCGAAGCCCTGGACTGGTGGTCTGCCGTTGCTGCCTGAGACCGAAGAAAGTCTGCCGTCACTTTCTATCTCTACGTTCATTTTTTTCATTTGTCTTTACTATGTTTGCTGCTTATTGGGATGGAAAACAGGACATTCCCAGAGGCAGTAGGGTTACTGATACGGTCGATCCGAGCAAGGCTCACCTTGTATATCGTGTCTTACCAAAGGTGGAACTGTGGATTGGAGTCATCTAATTGTTATGGCGTTGTGACTTACGTATAGTATCCAGCTACAACCTCATCTGGGGATACCCTCAGTGATACCATGCATATCTGAGATGGATTGAAACCTCAAAGCGTGTCCCCACGCAAGTACTAAGCTCTGCTGTGGATGTAATTGGCCTGTTCTTTCCAGAAGTATTTACCACAAGAGTGAACCCAGTTCCAGACTTCATATTCCACCCTAACTACTGGAAATCCTATGCAAATATCAGGTGTGAAACAGGGTGACAAGGCTGCATTGCGCGGATAGAGGAAAATACCGCAACGTAGTCTTCTCTAGGGTGGATCATAAATGTCCCACCCAACAAACCTTTTTTCCTTCTTTTTTCTGTTTGTTCAACCTCAACCCTTTGATAACCTACAACCTCAGGAATGAACTCCCCCTGCTACATGCTTGCAGGTCCCTCTTCTGTTCCGGCGATGCCACCATATTCGGAGATAGACGAGGGAGTCTGAGCACCGACCACCGACTACCCATCTTTTGTCAATTCCTCTGTAACCCAATACCTTACACGTGTTAATTTTTTTTTTTTTTTTTTCTCCCCAAGACACCATCCATGTCCTACGCAGAATCAAACCCAGTTTCAGTGGAGATGCTGTTGTTCTCGGGTCGGGAAAACCCCCCTTTATGAAAGAGGGTGGCTTGCCTGATCTCGATCGGATGGTAGAACAAAACAACCCCCGATGCTGTATCTGCTGTGCTGGACCGTGAAGCGGGATGAAAGTTCAGTTCGTTTTGACGTCGGACAAAGACCATTCCATTCTTTTTTTCTTTTTTCAAATGGGGCCTGGATAACTAGGCTAATTGGTTGATTGCGTTCCCTGAGGCGAGAGTCTAGAGGCTGGCTCGTTTAGAAAGCACATAATCCTGAGAACGCACAGACAATGGTGATGTGCTGGTGATATCATCCCTTTGCCTTTGGGTTCTAGGCCGGCATGGATGGGTGGACATGACAATACTCCGAAATGATGGCGATCGCAATAGAGTAACCGAGTAAGCCTTGCGGGCCTAGATCCCCCGTTCCTCCCCCCCTAAAAGTAACTTTTTAGGCGGCTGTGTTTTGCGGCGATTGCGAAGTATCTCGTATCTAGGCGGCTAGGCTCCGGGATCCCCGCCCCCAACTAATTATCCGCAGTAGTTAGGCACACGCAAGTTACGGCAACGCGTGAATGGGGCGGGCAGTTCCAACGCGCTGGCCTCCTTGCAGTACCACTGGCGCCAACAAACGAACCTCCGACGTCAACGGAGGATACCTTACGTTCAGCACTTGTTTTTGACTTCTTTCTGATGGTATACTCCTGCAGATCTCCTGATATGTCACTTTGACGTCGCTCTCCATGTCTGGTTCGCCGTCCAAGAAGCGCACCGCGAAGCCCATCCACGAGTTCTTCAAGCCTTACCTCAAGAGCACTGTTCCCGCCAAACGACCGTCACCCTCGGCCCCAGAGCGAAAGCGAGAGGAAGCCGAGTCCTCACGCAGAGATGACACCAACAAGGCGACACCTACCACTCCACGGGCAGGAAAGCGGACTACCGATCAATATGCAACAAGAACACCCCCCTCGACCGTTCTGTCACCCAAGTCTGCGCCACGCTCGCGCACCTCTCTGTCCATTCGCAGCCGAAACTCGCACTCCAAAGATCCGATAGAGCCCCCCTCAACGTACAAAAGGGCCCCCAGATTTGACGCGATCGCCCTGGAGGAAGAAGAGGAGGATGGTGACACTTCCAAGGGTCAGGCCAATCGCTTTTCATTCAGCGACTTGACAAGCTCGACCCAAACAGTCGTTAAGGACGGCAAAGTGATTGAGGTCCTCGACTCGGACGAAGACGACAAGGACTCGTTGGAGTCGCTTGAGGATTTGTTTGGGAGGAGAAAAGACGGCCGCAGTACGTCGCTGTCGTCCATCCTAGAAGCTGAGGCCAAAGCCGAGGCCGAGCGGATCAGGATGCTGAATCTGTTCACGTCGGGTCGGTCAGTTCCCTTGGTTGGTAGTGCCAAAATACGGGCTCTGCGGGCGAAAGAAATGGCACACAAATTCG